GTTTTCTTGGGCGGGGCAGGGGCAGCAACAAATTCAAAAGGGGGGGGGGACTTCTTCAGGGAACCTCCAGGACACAGTTCGACAAAGGGGTAGAGCAGGTTTTGAGGTTTCCGGCGGGGGAAACGTTGGAATTCTTTTAGAAGAAAGCCCAGGGGCATTCGTTTAATGGCCCCCTTTTTCATGGATTTTACCTTCTTCGGGGGGTTGTTTTGGAACGGGGGTGGAAAACAACCCGGGGGTAGGAGTAGGGAGAGGGGGGGGGGGGGGGGGCATAGTGCGAAGAAGGGAACGGGAAAGCAAGGGAGAGGTGGAGGGGGAACGTGAGACGGCTTGGTGCAACCAGCTGCGGGCGATCTTCATGGAACAAAGAGAGCTGAAAGCACGACTTATACTACTAAAAGGAGGAGACATAAAGCAAGTCCCCAAGAAAGGCCCGCAGGGGGTAAGCAATGCACCGGGACAGTCGTGGTCCGAAGTGAAGAAGATGTAGATGTAGCACCCAAGCATCCAACTTTTGGGAACCGTCGCCTTGAACGAGCAGCCAAAAGCGGCGGCGAGCAATAAAAGAGAAACGATGGATGTTCAGTACCTGGTGTACACGGAGCCTTGCGTGGCAGCCCCCGTGATGCCGAGCTGCTGTACGATTTCCCTCATGGCCACGCCGTCGGTATCCTGCGCCGCTCCGTTCAGATATACCGCGCGAAAAGGCTGCCGCTGCTGCTGCTGCTGCTGCTGCTGCTGCTGCTGCTGCTGCTGCTGTTTGTGCTGGTGCCATCTTTCTGCCTGCTCCTCCTCCTCCTCCTCTTCCTCCTCCTCCTCCTCCTCGTGCCGATGAGGCGACGACGACGCGGGCTGCCCAGCGCTCCCACCCTCCACAGACGAAACACCTCCCGACCCGCCTGTTCCTCCCCCCTCCCCCGCCGCCGGGGAATTCTTCTTCTGCCTCTTTCGCTTCCCGTGCCCCGCCGACGCTGCTGCGGTCGCACCCTTCGCTTTTGCGAGGGACGAAGCTTCCTGCGCCAGGCTGCGGAGCACGCTATCGAGGACCAGAGACTTGCCCGTGCCGGTGTTGCCGAGAAGGAGGGCGCTCTGGCTCTGGCGGTCGAAGATCGTTCGCCGGAGCACCTGGAAAAACCAAACAGAGAGAGAGAAAAAATGGTATGTTCACGTTACTCTTGTGTTGGGATACAGACATAGCCCGCTCTTTAGAGAAAATCTGTTGAGAAGACTAGGCTCAGGCTTGAACCAAAAAAACATGACAAGAAGGGTGAATACAGCTTAGCGGTGGACCCTGGGCTAGACCCAAAAGTATATACATAGTGAATGCTCAACCTGGCGACGAAAAAAGAAACCGGAACTCGACAAAAAATCGACGTTTCTCATAAGCGGTCGGGTACGCTTTAATATAGACCATAGACCTACACTTTCCTATACTTTCACTGTTTTGGTGGGCGAGTAAACGAGCTTTGAAAATCGGTCCCGGGGGTACGTGGGTATCTTGCGCAACCTACGATGGGGCAGATAGAACAACAGCAGTCATCCTCTCGTTTGAGCTCCCCTGTCAAACCGTGTATGAGCGGAAGCACAGCAGGGCCGTGCGCACTCAACAGAGAGCAGCATGTGCAAAAAAACTGTCGGGTGTAGACTACATACAGCAGAACGCATGTCTGGCGAGGCGACGTTAGTTGAGAAATCTCCAGCTGCCCTACTTGTACATACAATAGTTGTCTCTGTGGGAACATGTACATCACGCGGCACGGCTTGCAATCAAATCAACCACACTTGCACACGAAAGTAGGATCTGGAACCTTCTAGAAAGCAGCTTGTCTCAAGGTTTAGCTCTCGCTCCCGAGCACCCTGCTGTTATATCCCCTGTAGCTTCCAGCGTAGACGCTTGTCGCACCGTGCGCGCGCAAATTGCCCTATTCTCTTCGTACAAAGGCAGTCTATTTTGAATTTTGAAAACAATTTCGAAGACAGCAGTTGCCAACGAGCGACACACCAAAACACCCATGAACCTACTAACAAGGATGCACGCTGCTTTATCTCTCACCCTCCTCAACTCTTCGCACTGCGTGTGGCGCCCCGACGGCCACAAGTGCCCCCACGCAGACGCGCCTTGTTCCTCTCCGTCCGGGTGCGAGGCGGCTCGTTCCCGCTTCGAAACTTGGGGGCCGTAGGCCAACCGACGTCGCAGGAAGGCCTTGCAGTGTCGCATGGAATTATCATCGCACATTACTACTGCACTGAGTGCTTCCCCTCCCCACCTCGGGCCTCGCAGCTGCACCAGGTGTGTGTGTTCACCCGTTCACCCCCGTCGCTTGTCCGCTCCCAGCCCCATGCCCAGCTCCCAGCTCCCAGCTCTTGGCTCCCAATCTGCTGGTTCTGCTGGTTTTTCTTCAGGTGGTTCGTGCGGCGCAATGGGTGACGCTTGAAAATACTATAATAGTGAGCCCTTGGGGACGAGGAAGAGGGACCGGTGTCACGCGCCCAGTACCCACGCCGGCAACGACCCTTCTCTGCTATGGACGCACAACCACTTTGCAAGGGTGAGGACGGTCGGATGTAGAACCTCTGAAATTGCACCGGAACGGCGGTAGTAAATGACTTCCGAGGAGGACGAAGCGGAGAGAAAGGCTACTTTCGAGGGGGAAGAACAATCTGGACGAAAAGCTTCTTCCGCGGCAGATCACCAAGGTTATGGCGACGCCCCTTCGCCCGTTCACCATGACGGCCACACCACAATATCTTCCAAGCTGGAGGACGAATGGCCCGAGATTGAGCTGGGGGGGGAGAAAGGTCTCGTTGTTTGCTCCATCGACGTGCAGCTGCTCACGGGTGGGTGGGCAGAGTGTGTCACAATCACAAAGTCTGTTTGGTGCCTACATGTACACACATCAACAAACAACGAACACAGCGTGACATGCACGTCTCACCAGTAGATAGATGCGGCTTGTGCCCTCCCGGACAAATGTATGGTGATGATCACATGATGTGGTGAGTGTACTGCAGCATTTTGTGTTGAGTTCGATGTTGACGCAAACACACACTGCAGCCCAACCACAGGGACATAAATCGTGGGCCCTTTCTTAGGAAAAATACGGGTGTACCTGGATGCACACTTGTTTGCCCCTCAGGGCGGTTGCCCCGAAAACACTTGCTACTAGGCCAAAAATGGCTCAACTGTATGAGCAACAACGAAACATACCATCAATTAACCCCCCCCGAAGACTCTGGAACCATCCCCCCTCCCAGCACGTACTGACTGCGGTGGCCTTTCGTGTAAATGTCTCGTGTGTCTGATACTTGACATAGCAACTTTACTTTAATACCCTTCACCCGTCTCTACCTATAGACACCGTCCAGGTGATGCACTCCCAGATCGCCCTGCTGCGGCAGACCGTGCTAGACCTGCGGGAGACAAAGGCGCAAGAGATTGGAGACCTTCGTCGGCAAATCGACGCCCTCGAAACGTCGGGTCCAGGCAACGCGAAAGCTCGGTTCGACGACATTGACTCGAGACTGCGGGCGGTAGAACAGCAGCCTGGTGGGAGTGGAATGGTGAGACACCCCTTGATGACCAGTTTTCGACCAACCGGGGGGGGGGGGGGGGAGACGTGTTTTTTCTGTTTCCATGAGTGAATTTTGGAGGTGTGGAATGAAGTTTGGAGGTCAACCAGTGGCGTCGTTTGACCACCCGGAGCGAGGAGTAACCACTTTACATCTCCGTTCAGGCTTGTTTCGTACGAGTATCCATTTTCTGAAAAACGTGGACGCCCGCTGGGAGAAAGACCATGAGAAAATCCGAGCGATCATCGCTTACAGGCTGGACCGCCCCCCCCCTGTACCATACGGTGTAGACGTGTAGACTGGTCTCATCTCAAAACAAAATCAAGACACACGGTTGACTCATGTTTTCACCGTCCTTCTTCGGGCTCCATGCCCTCACGCCTACCCATCATTTCAACAATACGCAAAAAAACAAAAATGACGAGAAAAGAGTGCTGGCGACAGTGAGCGGCTCGAACTCCTGGAGGGGGCTGTGTGGGGCGGGAGCACTGCGGTGAGGAAGTCATTGGACATGGACATTGGTAAATCGTCCGAGGAAGATGCCCCGACCGAAGTAAATACCCCAGACGAACCAGACGAACCAGCAGCAGCAGCAGCAGCAGCAGCAGCAACGTCAACGGCGGTTGAAGATGTTGATATTGACGACGAAGGCGGAGATGGAGAGGGGGGGCAGGGCAGGGAGGAGAAACAAGCCGCCGCTGCCACCGCACGGAAATCACCTAAGATGAAAACAGTAGCGAAGACGGTGCTCATGCTTGGGGGAAGAATGGCCCTGTGCCCCAAAGTGGAAACTCTTCAGAGTCAGGTGTGTGAGCGGTGGGTTCGGTCGATTCTTCTTCGTTGCCTCTGCTTCTTTTTCCGGCTGTGCTGACATGCCGGGTGGTCGTGTGCCTATTGCAACTTGTTGGATTTCCGTTGTGGCTGAAAAAGCTTACTTGTTCGAAAACTTTCAAGGGGTGAACGGTCAGCATTGTCAACGGGGACTGGTGAAGACAGAAGCATCGATGTGCTTTTCGTTCATGACGCCTACTTACATCACCAAACGTATGTATTTTCCCATCTCTCCTAGCAGTAAGTCACCCATTGTGGGACTAAACCTAACAATCTTGCCAAGAGGGCCTGAAGTACGAATAGGTTTTCTTGATGGGGTTTGAACCGCGTAGGCGGTACGACAGGCAAGGGTGTTTATGCCAGGCCTCCCGGAGAGCCAAAGTTTGGCGAGATGGAACTGTATCTCGGGCTCACCCGCGTGATGTATACGTACGCTCGAGACGCAACAGCGGAGGGCTCGGTGTAAGGCTCTTGGAGTCGGATGGGCACTGGTCCAGGATCTCTGCCCGCCCTTAAGTTGTTGACCAAATCGGAACCGAAAGTCGCAACCCTTCCTTGGGAAGTTCGGCAGTGAACCGCCAGCTAGGAGCGAACTAAGCGCACCAAAGTTATTTACCCTGCACGCCACTCCCCATTTCTCTGCCAATCTCACCAGCCTTCGCGAAATGGGCCCGAACAGTGGCAACGCTTTTCCTATGCAACATTGTGGGCGAACGTATTTCCTAGTGTCCCCCGCCCCCGTCCCCCCTCCGTCCTTACCAAAAGGTGGGTACCATCGGCGAGCGCGAGGATCGGATCGAAAGTCGAGTTGCGGCGCTCGAGAGAAAGCTTCTGGCCGATGCCGAGGGCGCCAAGGCGGCGGCGGCGGAGCGGAAGCGGAGGCTCCTCGATCGGCTGATGCGACAGACAATCGTCCTGCGAAACACGATTATTGCGGAAGGGATGGCGGCAGGCACAGAAGGGAGAAGCGAGGGGGAATCGGAGGCGGCCCAAGAGGAGGATTGTTGGGCGGGGGTGCGGGAGGATATGGTGCGGGGTGGCCGTGGTAGCGGTGGTGTTGGGCAGGCCGCGGATGAGGAGGAGCTTATCCTCACGGCACGCGCCAGGTACATTAACGCGATGGGTTCATACAGGAGACACCGTTGGCGCTGTTGGTCGTATCTAGACTCGGCCGTGCACGGGCTGAGCTCTCGCTTACAGCTAGCTAGCTCGACAAGCTCGTTCAACCGCTCTGGCTTTGCGGATAGTGTCTTTTGGGGCATCTTTGGTCAGGTTAACAGCCGTTGTGTGACAGTATGGGCGTACGGAAGCCGCTCATCCGAGGTAATTCCCGCGACAAGATCCGCTCTGTGCGATATCACGTCAACAATTTATTATTATTCTCAGCAGGTTCGACAGGAGAGTCAGCTCTTAACATTCATGTGCAGGGAAGATCCGCCCCTCTTGCGCGTAATGCGACAGACACTACCAGACACTAGACACGGTAATCGATTTGCCAAATCTCTGCGTGCAGCACCGCTCTTTCAGGACAACACCTCCAAATTCTCCAAGGACAACGATCAACTGCAATGTAGACCGACTATGAATACACTTCGTTCACTCAACTCTGGCCGATGAAACAACTCGTGGCGTGTGCCGCACTTGTGACGACGCTAGGCTGGCCTGGCTAGAGAGTTGCGCCGAGAACACGCCGTCTTCGGGGGGGATCGCCGGCTCCGGCCCCGCGGGCAGCGGCGATGATGCCGAGACGGAGCGAAACGACCAACCAGCAACTAGCGACAATGGTGATATCGATTTAGTTGTCCCCGAAGAGGGCGGTACGCCAGCAAGTGGTATGAGTGATGATGTTGGTCAGCGGCGGGCGGCGGGCGCTTTGCCGGCGGAGGCGTGGACTGCGCCCGGAGATGAAGGAGGAGGAGGCCGTGGCGGCGGCGGCTGGGCTGGAAGGCGCCGAAGCAGCGGGGGCACCGGTGGCGGCGACGCGGACGGGGAGGTGGCCCGGCTGTGGCGCTGGATGGATGAAATTGAGAGCCGCATCTACCGGAGATGTTCCGACAGAGGAAGACTACCTTCACGGGTATGGCAGCAGTGTATGCCGCGGGGGTAGATGGTCTCTGTTCACGCTCGTATCAGATGAACAGTTGGCAGTATGACCTGGTCATTCTGTTCACGCTCGTATCAGATGAACAGTTGGCAGTATGACCTGGTCATTTTACGTCGAGTCTGTAGGCGCTGCCGTGTTGAGAGACCACGCCTCGACCACGCACTCGATTCATTTCACACACCCTTACTCTTTGCGGGATTCACGAACTCTCTCTGCCCCATGCGTGTAATTACTTTTTTCAATCGACGAACGGCAAACCACCCAGGGGGCTGGAGACGTCGTAACCTCCAAGGCTGGGGAGGTAACCGGCGCCGACCTCCAAAACCTCCAGGATTCTGTCGAGCTCTCGTCGCTCGCAATGGGAAACAAGCTTGAGGAAGGCCTGGCCACACTCGACGAGCGCATGAACCTCTTAGAAGGCAACGTCCGGTCGGTGAAAGCCAGGGCGCTGTCAAGGTCGGCACTCGACGCGGTGTCCGCTGCCGCCACTGCCGCTGCGGCGGCTGCCGTCCCAGGCGGCAGCGGGCACCCGCCGCCGCCGCTCGTGATCGCCCCGCCCGACGACAGCCGGATCGAAGAGATCCTGGCCGGCGTGCTCGGGGACGAGATCCCCACGCTGCGGCGCGACTTGGGAGGCGTTACGGAGCGGGTGGCGCACTTGGAGGCGACGGTGGCAGAAGACGGCGCTGGGGGGGCGGGCCTGAGCGTCGAGGAGGCGGCCGCCGCTGCCGCGGACGCGGCGTCCCGGCTGGCCAACGAGGAGACCCAGGCAAGGTTGGCCGCGGAGATGTCGGCACTAGAGGAGAGGGTGGACCGGCGCGCCAGGGAGGAGGCCAGGCGGGCGAGGGAGGAGCGGGAGGCCGCAGAAGCGCGGGGGGCGATGCGGCGGGTGTCGGCGACGGTCTCGGCGTACACGGCGGACTTGGCGACGCGGCTGGACGGGCTCAAGTCGGAGCACGAGGAACAGGGGGCGGTGGTGACGCGAACGGCGGAGGAACTTGCCGCCGCCGAGGCCGGCCTGAGGACTCTAGGGTCGGAGCTCGTTGGGCTGGGACAGGTTGCCAACAGCGTGAGTGTGTATAAGGTTGGCTCCGCTTGGTTGTTCGCCCAGGTTGGTTTGGGCCCCTCGAATTTTGCAGGAGGAAATACGTTGTTCCGAAAAAAGACCCAGCAGGCGAATATTCGGTCTTTGATGTAGAATGTGGTCTCCAGTCGTTCACCTTCCTAGAGGAGTTGTGCACCTTCACGGCACTGCACGCGTACCCGGGCCCTCGTCTTCTTCCCGCCGATCCCTCCATCTTGTTACAATCTGTCGAGACCCACCACTAAACGAAAACTTGCTTGAACTATATAACAACATTAGGTGTCCATGGTTGTGGACGGGAAAGCCGATCAGACGGACGTGGAGGCGTTGAAGCACGCCATGCAAAGGCTGGATGCCACCGTTACGGCCAAGGCCCGGGGAAGCTCGGCCACGGCGGCGAGAGACGCCGAGGCTATGGGAGCGCTGCAGGTCGCCTTCAGGGACATGTCTGCCAGCATGGAGGGAAGCATTCGAAAGCTTCAACAGGTCTGTTCTGGTGGTGTGTCGTGTTGATCATGTGCACGCAGTGGTGTAGCGAGCACTCGCCCGCGCGACGCTTGGATAGTGTCTTCTGCTCTTCGGGTCGCAGCTCGTCGATGATTCCTATCAAGAATTTCTGCTAACCATGTGGGCGCGCTTCAACGGGGGGCCGCCCACCCGCTGCCCTTTTTGTTGGAAAACGTGTTTGCTTCGGATTCCCATAGGCACAGGCGGCTGCCGGGAGCATCAAGGTCAAGCCCCTGCTAGACAGAGTGGTGAAGGAGCTCACCGAGGCAGGCATGCTGCCGGACCCAGACGCCGGGCAGGGCGCTGTAGGGCGCTCGATGTGTCTATCGTGCAACCGCCCGATGACCGTCGCCGGAGACCAATCGAGCAGCAGGTGGGAAGATTGACGGGGTTGCGGCGGTGAAGAGGGTTGGGGACGGTATGCAGGGAGCGAGGGATGTACAAGAGCTCGGTCTGTTTGGTACACGGTATCATGCATGCCTATCCTTCACCTGCTTGTTTATCGAGGTCAAGCACACGATCGTTTCCAACTATAAGTAATGACAAGGGTTTTCGGTTTTTTGCTACGTATGTTTTCTGAACCAAAAACTGTTACGTCAAACCAACGTTACTGTATGGTGGGAATCCTGATCCTTGAGGGACGAACCGAATCGTACGTTGCCCTTGGTACACTCACGAGCTCTAAGATTTGTGTTTTCTGTTTTTCAGGTTCGCCTCGCAGTTCCGAGGAGGCACACTCGGCAGCCGTATGGAGAAGATGTCATCGAACAACCCCATGCACATCAACAAGCCGTCGGTGATCTGGCGGGGGGGGTTCAAGATGCCGCCCCACAGAGTCCCAGCAAGCGCCCACGAACGACAACGGCAGCACCACCACCAGCATCGACAGCAGCAGCAACAACAACGGCACCGGGCTGAAACAGCCGGGGCGGTGGGAGATGGCGGCCGGCGCGCTGGTGACAGTGGGGGAGGCGGGAGAATCACGACAGGCGCGTCCTCCTCTCAGATTCTGCCGCCGTCCGACGAAGTGCTAGGGCCAGGGGGAATTGATGCGTCAAGAGATGGCAGGTTGCCAGGGATTCCTAACATGCTCGATAGTACGAGCGCGGGGGGGCGTGAAACCGGGGGTGGTGCCGGGGTTGTCGGCGGTGTAGTAGGGGTAGGGGGTAGGAATAAGAGGGTGTCGGTGGGCTCCTTGGCGGCGTCGTCCGATGCGCCTCACAGGGGGAGGTTTGTGCGGCAGCGGTGATACCACAGCATATTGTCGACCGGTTTCTCCGCCGCATGTCGGAAACTACTCCGTGGTATGCATACAGCAGTATTAACTGCTGTAGACCTAGACTGCTGCTGTTGTTGTGAAGTTTCAAGTTGAATTGTTGATGAAGAGACCCTGCGTTGCAGGTGCGAACGGATAAGAGCCATGTCGTCGTGAATGGCAAAACCGTTTTTTCAACTTTCATTTAGACAGCAGGACGGTGGCCATGGAAGTCGGAATCCGCTACGGTGTACACAGCTGCTGTTGTCTAGACTAGACAAAGCAAAATTCACGCCCATTCGATTCGAGCAGGCCCTCGAGCTCGGGGCTGATCGGGTGATTCGTGCCCGCCCGTTCGTGCCTGTGTACGTTTCGAGGGTTTTCGCGGGGTACTTCCTAACGCCGACTATCTAATGGGGACCTTCGCGGGTTCAAGGTTGCGAGGCTCTGCTATTTATGATGTACTGAGTCCGTGTTCTGTACGCTGGATTTCTGAGCCTTTGGTTCCGCTCTGGAATACATGCATCCACCAAACGCGTCCTCGCAGAGTGCGGATGTGTGGTGGTGGTTGAGAGGAAGCTTTACGAGACAAATATTCTCCCATTCTTTCAATATTATATTAATGTTTAGTCCGGGAAGAGCGCAAGAGGAACGAGAGGGACTAGGCGACAAGACCGAAGAGACCGGACCGCCGGGCCAAAACAGATCAGCAGACCGGACCGTCGGACCGTCGGACCGTCAGACCGACAAACCAGTTCTCCTTTTCGTTCCCAGCTTTTTATCCTTTCATGTTATTTCACCGCCCGCGCCTGGCGCATCCTGGGTTAACCCCTTTCGCATGCCTCACTTTCACACTCACTCGAGTGAATGGGAGATCTGATGAAGCTTAACGTTACGGGTGTACCGTCATGTGAGAGCTCATGTGAGAGCTGTGAGGCCCGCATGTCTCTTCGAGAACCACCCGTGAAGGTTTTGGACTGTTGTCCATGTCCTGCCGACGACGCCAAGTGCAATGGTATAGACGCGCGTAGCAATCCCTGAAGAACCTGGTGAAGACTCACATGTTGATTCATCTCTTTGGATAGAAGTGCATGCTGATTCCTTGCTCTCTGCGGTAGACTGAGCATGTGGGGGCAGACTAGCTTCCTCTAACAGGGGCCACCAAGGTCCTGCCCCCTGCTTATCCTTCAATCGGGAGTTACATCTCCCGCAACATCTCCCGCACTGCTTATCCTTCAATCGGGAGTTACATCTCCCGCAACATCTCCCGCACTTTCCTCTGGGCACTAGCCCGCACTACCGTTGGTACTTTCCTACACATTCAAATCCCATAACACCTACAGTACTACTCAGCAGCGAGGTGAGGCGTTGGAGCGATGTGGGGAGCGCACTGTGTGGCGGTGGTGGTGGTGGTGGTGGTGGTGGTACCAAGAGCTAAACATGTGCGTTTGTGCCACCTGTGTACTTCGTGTAGGTTGTGCGGCACTGGGGCCTACAGGGAACACGGCGACGGGGAAACCTTGTATTTTCCGCATAGCTTTCATTTACTCTCTGAGAAGATGATAACATGGCGGTCCCCTCCCCCCTCTCCCCCAACGTAATAATGCTGTTCCAAGCCGTTGGTTGGTTCGCACCGATCGTCAGCCTCGCTTCTCTCATTGAATGGCACAAGCAGAGGAACATTGTTGACCGAGTGGGCCAGGAAGTAAAACGTATCCGACATCCTGCTGTGTAGTCGAAGACGCCAGTTGGTCGAGAGCAAGGGCAGGAAGCGTTTCACTGCTTGCATATTTGAAACGCCACCAACTTGCACGCGGCTTGTTCCCCCGCTCTCCGCCGCAAGCACACGCACAATCCTTTGGAGGGCGTATCAGAAACGAATCGGGTCTTCTCTCGTCCTCCTCTTGTATGCCCAGCGCGTACGACGAGAAGGAGCGCGACAGGAGCAAGCGACCGACGCCCGGCCACGTGGCTGGACGCCATCTAATAAGCAATGTAGGAACTTCGCGGCCCGCACGGCTGCAGCTGTGTGTGTCTCTCTCTCTCTCTCATTGTGTGTGAACAACAAAATCTAGCCGCGATTGTCTTTCCGTCTGTCTCCCCATCCGGTTCAAGAGCAGGCACCCACGCTCACAGCACCATGTCTGATCACAACCGAAAGTGCTCGATAGAACCAGGGGGTACGGATTCACGAGCTGAGCGTAGACCCAGCTCATCAGGCTTCTCGTGCTGACAGAAGAGTTGAAGGTTGCAAGATGGCACGGCAGACTGGTCGTTACCGTCTTTCGTCTCTCGATGCGGGGTAATTTCGGCGCGTGTTCGTTGCACATTTTGGTCGCGCTCCACATAGGATCACAGCGTTGCCGTAATCGATCTCAAGGTTTTGTATACCCCCTCTGTCTCCTCCCCCTTGATGCAGTTCACTCAGCGGCGCTGGAAAAGGGACCGCCGCAACAAGCAGCGATTGGTGGGTAATCAATTTGACCATTGGTTTGGCAAGATCCACCAGTAGACTGCTTGCTACCTTGGTACAATTAGTACAGAGGCCTACAGCGCGGCGGTAGTACTGAGGCTCCAGGCTACTGAGGCTCCCGGCTCATGCTATGCCAGCGGAAGCCGCTGGTCTGTCGACCCGCCTGAGTCAGAATATATCGTAACCGTTGGACACAGGAAAGGCCATATTGGAGGGGGGAAAGAGTGGCTGCGCACCTGATGTTTGCTTGCCCTGCTGTGTGAACTTTTCATGACAACCAACGAGACCTTCGAAGGGGGTAGTTATCTCCAACGGGAACTGTGGCTCTCGGTGATTGACTGCTGTGACGTTTGCAAGAACCACGTTCGTAGTGGGAGTGCATGTGTACATAGCCTACATACAGCAGTCGCAAAGTAGTGTCATTCCATATTCCACATTCATTCCACATTCCACATTCCACATTCCACACCATCGAGTAGCTCTGACCGTTGCGCACTGGTATATATTTTTCTCCGATTTACTCCCTTCCCAGAGCAGGGCGTGTGTTCTCCCGTCTCGGAGCTACTACTACCGTCGAGATAATGGCAGTCCGCGTGTCGATGGCTGCCGCGAATATTGCGGGAATCAGCTTCGCGGGGAAATCGCCCCGCTGGGTGCCCAACTGGCCTTCTCTTTCGGGCATAGACCAGAAGGTGCGTCTTTGAGCGGCGCAAAAACTGCGGAGGGTAGTTACATGTAGATTTGTGATATTTGGAGCAAGCAACCGCTGTAGACTATAGAGCGGGCCGAGATGAAAGAACCTTGTCCGCATACTACGGGTTGTTGCGTTCCAATTGCATCATCAGAGTAGCGGGGGTCTGCTGATGCGAGTGAGTCTGGCGTCGACACCACACACCAGAGAGGTTGGTTCCCTGCAAACGAAACTTAAACATATTACCAAGGTGCATTACCCAAGGAAACCAAGCAGAAGTCTCCCTCCGTAGCATTGCTCCACCGAAACTATCCGATCGCAACCCCCGTAGACTTACCAACGTAGACTATGCGTACCCAGAATCCGCATGCCAAGAATAAACATGTACAATACGCCGAGAGTACGCAAAGCCCGGCCGGTCTCAAGCAATGCAATTGACGCCGCAACTCCCAACAAACTGGAAGGCTCCCATCGTTCTTGCTCGTCCCTCGGCTCGTCCCTCTGCTACACGTCAAGCCGCTCGGTGCGGTGCCCTTGTGAGTTTTTGCGAATAGTCCCTTTTGGCTTGAGCGCGTGCGTGTGTGGTGCTTCTCGGCCCCGGCCAACTGTTTCGGGCAGACTTGTTGTTCCTGGCGCTCCTACTTTTGCACTCCCCTTGCATAATACTGCCTTTCTGCTCCTGCAACTGCCGCTCCTCCAGACTCTCGAAGATATATTCGACCCTCGCCACGTGGAAGAGTACGTCCGTGGGGATTTGCCGCCCAGTATGGTGCGGAAATTTGACCGCAGGAAGAGGTGAGAGATGCCTGGATCGCAGTTCTTGGCCCTGTTGTGAACATGTCTTCGAACGGGGTAGGTATTATTATCTCGGACGGGTAGCAGATATAATATACGTATATGCAAACAAACTTAAAGTATTTTCTAACAAAGAGTACTTGAGACGTGCTCTTTCTCCCACCCCAAAACGGTCAACTCAAATGAACCTATGTATGGGAAAGCAAGAGGGTGGTGTTTGTTTTACTCCATTTCCACAAGCTTGTTCCATGCCAAGGGTTTGTGGTAGATATCAGCGACATGATTCCGCGAAAAAAGCCCTAGTTGCCTTGACAGAGATTGGGGCATGTCGCTACGAGCACAAACAGTAAGGAATTCTACAAGCCACTGTAGTTGCGACGAGCGTGTGCGGCGTCTACCCCCAGAGTGCAGTGGGTGAAAAACACCATGGCTTTCAGCTTTTCCAACCCGACAACTAGAGCAAACGGGTCGAATCAAGTGTCTTTTTGGTTCGCTTGTGTTTGTAGTCCCGGGGAACAATCTCGCTTGTTGAAACCCAGGCCCAACCCCACCCGAATCGACGCCTCGTTCAACACTGCGACATCAATAAACAAACAAATAATCCCTCCTTTTGACGATGTAAGAAACAATCGCGTGTGTGTGCGTGATTGGCGCGGCATCTCGACGAACGAACAACTTGCAGGCGTGTCGACGACCTTGTTGACCTCCTCCGCTACGCGTGGGCTCGGAAGCTTGAGCACGTCAGTGAGCTCGCCCGCCTTACACACGAGAAAGAGGTGAGGCAAAAAAATACAACAACACAGCAGCACCAGTCGAACATTCAAGACGTTTGATGGATTGGGCTCGTCGTGCGTTCCAATCTTGCGCGAATTCTTATGTTTATCGCCACAAACCGTGCCGACGGGAAGATGCAGATCGTGTACCTCCGAGCTGGAAACGTCCGGCTACCGGATGGCGAGAAAGTGTTTTATAGCGGTCACTTCTTTCAGAGGTCGCGACTCAGCTAACCCCCGACTCTGAAAATCCGTCCAACTTGTCCCGGAAATCGCTTTTCGAAACAAAAATCCCAAAGAATCCCGCCGGTGTTGCACATTTTTAAAACGTGGACCAATGGCCGTCCTAATCGCAGAATCCGTGGTGGAGTAAACTGCCATGAACACAAACCGGTCCGTAAAATAGCTTCTTAGGCCATTGGCGCCTCGTCGAGTTTTGTTTTTCCTTTCCTTCGAAGTGGTGGAACGGAGCGTTTGGGTGCGAGCTCGTCATGCAGCGAAGAGGTGTTTCGAGGGTGAGCAACCTCGCCTCCGTTCCTTGCATAACTGCTAACGGATATCCTAACAAGACGATCGCGCAATCAAAACCCGTGACTGCTTTGAAACCGTTCCTCACATTCGTCTCATCTACCTTGCCCTCTCGCCATCGCTCGCCGGTCAGCTCCATTCGGCGGTGTCGGCAGCACTGAGCGTGTCCACCGATGTGGCCGAGGGGGCGGAGGGGGAGCCTGGACTCCTGGGTCCGACGCCGGCGGAGGAGTTTTTTTTTCTTTCTCCACCGGGCGCCGTCAACGCTGCCCCCCTCACGGGGGTCATCATCGCTGCTCCCGTCACGGGCATCACGGGCACGGCAGGCCCACCCTCGGATGTCCAAGTCGGTCCAACAGCCATCCACGGCACAAGGCCGCATCCGGCCGTCGCGGGCGCGGTCGTCGTCTCGCTGGTGCTGTTTGTTGTCGGAGCGGCAATTTGGGCAGGTCGGCGATTCGTCACGGTGGTGCGTCGTCGGCGGCAGGTCGCGGTGATGAAGCTGGAGGTAACGTCCCATCACATTTTTCCTGCCAATGGAACGGTGGCGCTTGCAACTACCGTCACCCACCAGCACCTTTCCTCTCTCAATAGAGGGCGAAGAGCAAGAAAAACATCTGCTTAGCTCCTCTCTCGCTCTCTCTCTCAAACACAATAACAAACCAACCGTTCTTTTTTTCACACGCTGAGAATGCGTTCAATGGTTGCGGAACACTAGGAATCTTCGAATCGATCGGTTTGAGGGTGTGGGGTGGTGTGAGCCGGCGAAAACGCTCGCGCTGTCATTCCCATCATCATGTCCCCACCCTCCCTCCCTTCCTCCCGCTAACGGATGGTTGTTACTTTGAACGCTGAAAATTCAACACCCACCACATACGTACATACGTGCACAGCAAACCTGCCTGCAGGGCTGAGCCTCGGCGACGTGCCCCGAGTCGTCGTCCGTCGCATTCGAAAGGCGATCCTCGAGGCCGCGAATCTCAATGGTAGCCGCCTCAATACTAGCCTTTCCGTTGACAGGGGCAAGCAGAAGTTGAACGTTAAGCGCTAGGGTTGCCATCCGTCTGCAAGAGAATGAAAAATACCGGTATAGCAATGTTTTTCGCCTTGGCTTTGCTTCTTGGACGCCCCACCACGGTCCCCGCTGTGGTCGCGGCAATGAATGACCCAGACGCAGAGTTTCGTACATCGAGTATAAAAACAGTAACCGGCCAGCCGCAACACTTCCCAGTCATGACTTTGCGTTTTCGAACCAAACACCAACCTCGGTGGCGCATACCCTGGTCGTGGTACAGAAGCAAGCTGCGGACAAGGCCCGAAAGGCCACCGCGACCGAGCACCAGCGGCAGAGGAGGCAGGTTCGCCACCTCGCGAAGGAGGTAGCGTTGACCCGTGGCAGACTGTCTGCCGCACAGGCGCAGGTGGGTCGAGAAGGCGGTTTATGGTCTACTGGTGGTCGTTTGTCGCTGCTGGTGTAATGCAGAATACCGGTAGAACGATTGTTTACCTTGATTCTGTCACCGTCTCATCTAGTCATGGCATTCGAAGGCGGTTTCGGGAACTCAATCCTCACGAGCACCGAATTTGGCAGTTGAAAGCAGAACACTGCGCTTGCAAATGTGAAATCCGTTTGTATTTTACTCACTATATATATATCACTATTCATTGCTACGAAATGCGCATTGTCCCCATCTCGCCAGGGATGGAGTCGCGAACCCGCTAGATATAGTTCTAGGTAATGCTACCTAAATAAACCACCGCGGCGACCAGCACACGCCACGAGGAAAAGGGCGAGTGAGGAAGTAGGTCAAGGTAGTGCAGTCATCATGTCGTCTCCCCGTGTTCTTGCCGCTTGTGCGATGCCCCAGCAAGGCCCCCCCTATGCCTTCCGGCACAAAATGGTGCGACTCGGAATTTCGTGCACCAAGTGAAAAATAACCGCACCCAGCCAGCCGCAACACAGCACATTCATGACTCTGCGCTTCGAACCAAACACCAACCTCCGTGGCACACGCCCTGGCCGTGGTACAGCTGATCGTGGTACAGAACGAGGCTGCGGAAGCACTGGTCGTGGTACAGAACGAGGCTGCGGAAGCGCTGGTCGTGGTACAGAACGAGGCTGCGGAAGCGGCCCGGGAGGCCAACGCGACCGGGTACCAGCGGCAGCGGGGGCAAATTCGCCACTTGGCCACGGAGCTCGAGGCCAAGCAGAAGCAGGTGGGTCACGAACGCAGCTTGGCCTACACAAATCCATTTGTGGTCGCTGGCGTGTCTGGTCACATTGACAGTGTGGCTTCAGTTCATGTCTGCTACCCTCACGTGCATCGATCATGCTGAACCAAGCTTGTCTCTGATATCTGCCTGCCTCGTTGGCAGGTAGAGGCAACGTCACGGGCGCTAGCGGAGGCGCAGCGTGACGGGGAGCAAAGCATGTGGGTGGAAAGGGAGGTACCCAGGAACGCTGCTGTTGCAGCTGCGATTGCTGCAGCTGCTGTTGTTGTTGTTACGTTCACGATGCTGATATTGATCGTTCTCGTTGTTGCCGTCGTTGTCCTTGTCTGATACAATGGCACCCTTCTCTCGTTCATCTGTCGGCCTCTTGTTCTCTAGGGCCATCGTCTCCGCAAGAGAGCAACAAGCCTGGGCAGGCCAGGGCCGAGCCTGGGTCGAGATGATGGAGGCGGAGGCCAACGCCAGGCAGCTCGA